GCGACTAGTTTCTGTGCAGTGCTCCGGCAAAGAAGAAACTTTCGATTTTGTTGACAAACAAAAAACTTAAATAAATACAGGCATACATTCATTTATGCATATATATACATACATATGTGATATGCGTACATGCGCGTCTGCATACACACGCATAAACTAATATAACCACATACCACACACACCCCTCATTAGGGAAATGCCATATGTCGTACACAACTACACCAGTCACTTCACTCCCGAGCTTCGTACCTTTATATGTACATGCACAAATGCGCACATTAAATAAAAAATTTTTAGTGCTAACTCGGTAACCAGAAAAGCTGGAAAGCTGAAATTTTGAGGGAATGTTCCCTGCCTAAGTACAACTTAAGTATTTCAAATTCGACGTTGAGGTATGCGTGGTTCTTACGTACGGGCACTTAACGTCTTGACGAAAAAATTTCTCACTGAACAACTAGGTTACTTTTAAAGAACGACTTTTAAATGGAAATTATACATTTACTTTGTAAAATTTATGGTGATTTGTGTTGGTGACCGCAAATGGTAAGTGTAAAGCAACAGCCATTTATGCATTTAATGACCTGAGTACTTTAAGTCCGGTACAAAAACGCATGATCGCACGGGCCCGCCCAGTGCGTTCCAGTCTGGGTTCCACCCTGCTATATTACGCGTTTTTGTATTGACCACGGTGTGTGCGCGTGTATGTGTTCGTCTGTCCGGGTATTTCAACTCGACAACCAAGCAAGTTCGGGCGTCAAAATATTGCTAGCGGCTCCCTCGGCTAAGTGCCACTTCAGGACCGCGATATCAACCCTAAGGCACGTCTGGGTCCTGCGTACGTCCACGTGAAAGGTTTGGCGGGAAAACCGCTATCTTGGGAGTCGAGAAGGTTGGGAAGTTGAAAGTTTAGGGGGATGCTCCCAGCCCATGTACAACATGTCATATTCAGTCCCTCGGTATACGTGGTTCTTACGTACGGTTTCATGAAAATTTTTGACTATAAAACCGCTAACTCGGGGACTAGGAAAGCTGGGAGGCTGAAATTTTAAGCGGATGCTCCCAGCCCATGCACAGTTTAAAGATTTTAAATTCAGCCTCCAGGTTTGCGTGGTTCTCACATGCGGGCTCGTGAAAATTTTTGGCAGAAAAGTCATGAACTCGAGGACCAGAGAAGTCAGGAAGCTGAGGATTTAACGGAGTGTCCCCTGTCCAAGTACCACGTAGCTGCACAATTAACTCCCCGAACTAGTATGTCACAAATTCTAGCTACTGCGATTCCAAGTGGTCTTAGTACAGCAAAAGGGGGTAGCGAAGCCCTCGGGTAGCATAAATCCCCGGGTGATGGCAGAGTGGGGTGAGGGATGGCGGGTGTTGCGCTTAGATTAACGTGCTGGGACCGATTATTGCATAGTGGGGCTGGCTCGGCTGGCGGTGAAACACTTCGTCCCTTTGCCAGTCTGTGAGATCGTTGTCTTTTTGACGCTTTTTCGGTAGCTGTTTTTTTTTGGTGGGGCCGAATTTTGGCAGTTTTGTTTCAGCTGAATTGTGAGCTGATGTATCTTGGCCATTGCCTGCCTGAGTGGCCGCTGAGCAGTTAAATCTGTATAGTTTCGCGCAGTTAAATATAAGAATTTCGCGTAATCTCGTTCACAAGACACATAATAAGTGGACAGCAACTGATCAGTGGCCTGAGGGACTGGGAAAGTCGCAAAACCGCGCAACTGAAGAAGCAGAACATGGGCTGAGCAGTTGGCCCAGGTATCTTAGGCATAGACTAAGGTAACATCCTGTGTATCGTCCTGCGTGAACAAAAAAGAAAAAGAAATTATCCAGAATGTTGTATTTCGCTGTTGCCGTGAGGATGCACAGAGTAGAGAGTCACAGAATCGTATTTTGAAATAGGAAGAAGAATAAAAGTGAAAATAGTACTAGGGAATTAGTAAAAAAGTGATAAAATTGTTTTATTAAAATTATAGTAATGGTAAAAAATTTCACGGTCCATTCAATCGTATACATTTCTTACCGTTACCACAACTGCACCTCGTCACTGCGACGCTTGCAATGATTGTAATTGTCATAGATTTGATTTATTGGTAAAAGCATGTATGAATTGAATCACTACAAAAAGGCAGTACGGGCCTGAAGGGCCGTGTGAGGAAAAGAAGAAGGGGCCGGAACAGCGGCCCCGTAGCTAAGGATATTACCCGTATGGGCGCCAAAATCCGTGACTGAAATGGGAAAGCGCCGGGGGGGGGGGTGGTAATTGCCGAAGCCCTGTGCTGGTAATGAATGAAAGAAAATAAAAGGGTTCAGATTTTTGTGATGAATATTTTTTTTAAAAATAGGGTGGAATTTAAAAGAAGTTATGTGAAGAGCGGTATGTACAAAAAGCCTGCCTGTGTTTCATCCCCAAGCTGTAAACACAGACAGCACAAGATGTGATTAGAGGCGGGAATCATCAGTACAGCCCCCTAACCACCATGTTTGAATGAACATAGCGTAGTCGCAGGATGAAATAAGATAAAAAAACATGCAAAGAAAAGAGGGGAAAGAAAATTGGGAAATGTAGACTAACGTGAATGAGGAAATTGTCGGCCTTGCTTCGTTTTGAAGGGGATTCTCCTTGAAGTAAAAATTACTTATTGAAAAGTAAGGTAGTCGTCGGCAGTTGTTGCTTGGACAGCAATTGTCGCCAGAATCGCTAAATTCGGCAGTTGTTGCTCGGACAGTCGGTGTGTGGTATCTCCGTGTTGCAGATTTTACTGAGATATTCACTCACCTCAAGCCAGGCTCTTCGATCTTGATTTGTACACGATTTTGTGCATGTGTGTGTGCATGTGTGCGTGTGTGTGTATGCGTGTGTATGCGCGTGTGCATGCGTGTGTGTCTGTGCGTGTGTGTGGCCTAATCTAATTTTTTTATTTCAGGTAATTTTGCGAGCAGCAGTTTGACTGAGGGGGTTAACGATGGAGATGCAAACGGCTGGTGAAAAATTTGGCCATGCACTGCACGATGATCTCACTTTATCGGCAATTTGCCAGGTTCCGTTTCAGTTGATAATTTTTATGCGTTTTGTGCTGCATAATAGCAGTATATAAATAGCGAAGTGTACCAGGGTAGCCAGTGCGATCATGCGTTTTGCGCAATTCCGTCCAGCGAACGTTTGCTTACTAAAAATATAACTGTTCGACACTTTCGTGTATGGAAATACAACAGATATGCTGTCCGGCTCCTGTGGTGAGGAATTTCTAACTGAAAATTTCACGTGCCAGTACGTGAAAGCTGAATTTGAATACATAGATGGGGAGCATCCCTCAAAATTTCAACCTTGTAGTTTTTCGGCTTCTGAGCTAGCGACTTTCACATCACAATTCTCACATGGTCATACGTAACACCTCTACATACTTGGGAGCTAAATTTGAGTTTTTGAGATGCCTGCAGCGGTAGAAAATATCGGCCTGAAATTTCAGCTTTCTGGCTTTCGTGGACCCCGAGATGGTCTTCCGCCAAAATTTTCACGAGGCCGTACGCGGTGCCCAACCGCACGAGAAAACTGAGTTTAAATTTTCTGGGTTACACGTGGTCCAGGGGCATACCCATAAAATTTTAGCTCTCTAACCTCAGCGGTCCCTGAGATAATGATTTTACCCGCTAAAATTTTACGAGGCCGTGGGTGTTACCCGAGGCACGGGAAGGTTGAGTTTAAGTTGTCCGGGTCACACGTGGGCAGAAAACATACCCATAAAATTTCAGCTTGCCAGCTTCTCTGCTTCCCAAGGTAGTGACGGGCTATACGTGTTACCCGCGGGTACGAGAAAGCTGAATTTAAATTTGCCGCGTGACAGTATGGGTTTTGTACTGCTGTTACACAGTACAAAACGCATAAAAACGCATATTGTCACGGAGTTATCTATGTGTTTGTGTATGTGTGTGTGTCCGCAGCAACTTGTCCGCAACTTTTAACTCGAAGAACCACAAAAGCTAGAAACTGAAAATTTAGGGGAATGTTACCCACTCACGTGTGACCCCGCAAATTTAAATTCAGCCTCCGCGTACCCATGGGTGTCACGTATGGTCCCGTAAAAGTTTTGGCAGATAAACTGTTATCTCGAGAATCGCGGAATCTAAGAAGCTGAAATTCCAGGAGGCTATTCCCTGCCCATGTGCAACCCCTCAAATTTAAATTCAGAGCAGTGAAAATCATTAGCAGGCAGCAATCGTTCGGTGGACGGAATTGCACAAAATGCATAATCGCCTGGTGCGCACCGCTATTTATTTGTTTGGTTTTATTGACAGCTTTTCCCCGTTTTTACATTCTTCCCCGGTCTTTTTTGCGTCTTTTTTGCGCTTCACTTTTCAAGTCATCTCCAGTCTTTCCGCTGGAGGCCCCTCTACATCCACAATAGGCAACCAATGTCCCATTGCTGGAGAGTCTTGCGACAGGACAATTATGCTATAGCTTCTCATTCCTTTTCTTCTGATCTTCCCCCTCCTCCTCCCCGCACCCCCCCTCCCCCCTCTCTTCCTAATGAAGTCGAGGGGGCATCAATGATCTTTTCCTTCTTTTTTTCTTTAACATCCTTCCTATTAAAATCGAGCGATCGATGACCTTCCTGCACAGTCAGATGCGAGAGCTGATCTCTTTCTTTGCATCCCTTTTTAAGGTATCTCGTGATTATTCTGCCTCCTGTAAACCAAATCTACCTCATTTTTCCCGTTTTCGCTCTCTTATCCTCGTCCTATTTTAATTTCACTCTCATTCTCCTCATCGTTTGCAGTTAGTGCTGTTTAATCCCAAGAAGTAATACCTCCTGTTGCTGTAGGAGTGGCTTTTGAGATTGATTGAGGACCGATTTTGGAGAATTGGTTGAGGGAAGGGGCGAGGGGGGTGGGGTAAAAAAATGAAGTTAGCCCCAAAATTAGACGAGGGGGACCTAGACGGCTGGTATTTGAGAATGTATCATCCCCCCATCAACCCTTACATTTGAATGCCCTCCCCCCCTCCTCCTCTCCACCGCTGATGCCAAGAATACTGAGATTGCCCGGACATTCACTGTGAGTATTATTCCATGTTAGTGATGTTACTGGAATGCTGCCATATACTTGTCAGTTCTCATTGAGAAGTAGGACAGAATTTTTGTTTCCTGCTGTAATTGAACGCACAAGATTAATTCTGGAGATTTCCACAAATTACGATATAATTGTATTTAAAACAAGTGATTTTTTTCTTCGAATCATTTCGCACAAAGAATATTCTCGTAAAATTTCAGCCCTCTGTCTTCTTTGGTTTTTTAAAGATTCTTTGATGAATCACTTTGGCGGTAAATTATTACTGGCTTGCATAGCTTGCTTCTCAAGTAATTGTCGAAAAGGCAGAATTGCTCGCAGTTTTGTCAGTGGATTTTTTTTTTATTTGTTATTGGCAGAGTACTGTCCTTCCTACTGTTTCCGGGTATCATTACCCGCGGGAAAGTGCAGCGAGGTTAGTGAAGTGAAAAGTGCTTTTGTTAAGTTTATCTGCAGCATTATATCTGCAACCGTTAAGAGGGATTTTCTTCTTTTTTCCCCAGAAACTGAAGCAAAAAGAGACGGAGGACAGTCGGCGAGCCCATATAAGCCGACGGGCATGGAAGTATCGAGTGGTCAAGGACATGAATGCAATCGAGGCAACCATGAAGCAGTGTGCATATGTCAGTCGACGAACGCAACGGGCATGCAAAAATTACCGACCACCTTCGAAACTGACCGAAGAAGGCTTCTGTGAAGTGGTAAGAAGGTTTTTTTTTCTGAAAAAAAAAAAATTAAAAATCGTAAGCAAATTGCCCATATAGCAACGCATCAGGTTTGCCAATGCCTTCATGCGTTTTTGCGCGAATATTTGAGTCGCACATGCACAGAGAATATCCTCCTAAAATTTCAGCTCTCTGTCTTCTCTGGTTAACTGGCTAGCAGTTTTTGCGTCAAAACTTCCACATTCCCACACATGAAACCCAGGCGAACTTATTAATTGAATTTGAAATTTTAGACCGCAAGTGGACAGAGATCATCCTCCCAAAATTTCAGCTTCCTAGCTTACCTGGTTTCTGAAATAACGGTTTTCCTGTAAAACCCGTCTTAACTGCGATGAGTTTCC